CCGGCTGCTGAGACGCGCTGCTGCCCCCCGCGCGGGCGCCGCGGCTTCAATGGCGCCATCGCCCAGGACCGGCAGCCGGCAAGATGCGACCGCCCTACCCAGCATGTCCTCAACTTTTTGGGCGTTCATGATCCTGGCCAGCCTGCTCATCGCCTACTGCAGTGAGTACCGCGGCCCGGCGTCCGGGCTCCGCCGAGCCTCCCTCGCCGACTCGCGGGCCCGGCCTGGGCACCAGGCCCCGGGTGGCGCGGCGCGTCCCTGCACGCCGGTGCCCGCGGCTGCCCAGTGGACTGTCACCACTCCCGGCCCAGGTCGGGGACCGAAACCCAGCGGGCGGCAACCCGGCCAGGGCTGGGCGCCTAGTGGAGCTCGAGCGGCGGAGGGAGGTCCCGGGCGGGCGGGCGTCGGCGGAGGGTCCTGCCCGGAGCTGCCTGCCGGCGACACTCCCGCCTGGAAGGTGGGGACGCGGCGGCCGGGCGGGAGTGGGAGCGGGAGCGGGAAGGGGACTCGAGCTGAGGCGCGCGGTGGAGCAGACGCCTCCGGGGAGCGGGCTCGCTGGGCTCTTTCTGGCAAGGGTGGAAAAGTGCGGGGTGGGATGCGGACCGCGGGCATGACGCGATCCCGGAACCAAGACCAGACCAGGGCCGCGGGCTGGGTCCGGTGGCGCCCGGGTGCAGGCGCCCAACTGGGGCGGGCTGGGATTGTCGGAGTCCGGGTTCAGGCTCGGGTTGGGCTGGCTCCGGCCGGTCTGTCCCAGGCGGCCGGGCACAGGCTCGGGATCCTTTCCAAGGGAAGGGCTGGTGCTGAGGAGCACCTGCCATGGAGAACTGCCATCAGCGCGGGAGGTGATGAAAAAATATGGATTCTTTACAAAAAATAAAAAATAAAAGAGACCTGTGCCAAGCTGCGCTCCCTTGCCGCCTCCAGAGCGCGGGCCTCGCTCCGCTAGCCCAAGTGTGTCTCGGATGTCTCAAAAATGAGACTGCAGGCCACCTTTGAGCTCAGGGCCGTGACTCAGGCCCGTCCTGGGACAGACCAGCCCACTCGATCGCCCCCACTGCGAGGGAAGCCGGCGCCAGAGCGGGGTGATTCCTATTTGCTTCCACTGGCTGTGCGCTTCCCTACAAATGCTGGCCAGGCTGTGCCACCGCGTGGGGAGGGGTCTCCTGGCGGGAAGTGTTCTAGAAGGGGTCGTAACCTGGGCTACCCAGGCGGGCCTCTGCCACCTTGATGCGCACTGCGCGCCCCTAAGAATGCTCCAGGAAGCCTGCAAGGAGTGGGGTCTGGTCGGATATATATATGCGTGAGAAGACCCCATGCCATCTCGGGGTCCTCAGGCAGCAGTCGTGGGTTCCTCAGCAGAGCCCTGAGCGCCTCTTTCTTGGTACGTCCAAAGGGTTAAAGGCAGGTAAACTCCGCCGCTTTGGGAGAAGGTGTCATTTAAAAGCACTTCCTAGTGGTATGATGGGGGAGGGGAGCAAGGGGAGCTTTCAGCCTTGATTGGAAAGGACAGGAGCGTCTTGGGCCCCCAGCCTCCGGTCCCAGTCCAACTCCAGCGCCAGCGTCCTTGGCGTCCATGCGGAGAACCAATGGCAGCCAGCTGGCCCTGGGAGGCAGCTCGCCAGGTGGGGAAAAGAACAGCTGCTAATTGTTGTTAAGTACCTGACACCCGGCCCTGTTTCTTCAGCACTCAGCGCACCCGGTGGCAGCGAGGACACTCCCTGTGCCCACAGCAACCTCCCTCAAAATATGCAGCGTCAGCCCACTCCCCTCCCCGTCCCCCCTCCTGGACCAAGTGCCCCTAGGCAGCATCCTTCTCTTCCTGCTGATGGCTCACACCTTCCCAAGACTGTTGCCTGCTTTGCGAAGTCAGGTGTCGGAGTGTGATGTCTCCCGGCCTCGCCAGCTGCTCAGACACAAGGCGGGATGAGAGAGCTGCTTGTGCACGCTCTCCCCTGCCTTCCGAAGCCTGGGCGCTCCCACCGCGGGCAAGGACGTTTGGTGGAGAGACCTCAGCCGGGATGGAGCGGAGACTATTAATAATGGAAGCTTTTGGTTGTGTCCTCTCTCCGTGGAATGTTGTAATTGACATAAGAGAACGTTTGCGGACACACCCCATTACGCCGGAAATGCATTTGGAGAAATTAAAACATTTCAGTAAAATACAAAATAGACATTATCATTTATAGCTTGGGACTGCAGACTTAGAGAAAACACTCACTTTTTTTTTTTTTTTTTTTTAAGGATTGGCAAAGTAAACAAAGTGTCCACAAACAATTGCTATCTCTGGGTTTGCGTTTTCCATAGACGTTATCTGGAGTGAAGAAGAATGGTTAGCCTCCTTGTTTGTAAATTGTTTTTGGTTGTTGCTATCAGTAGGGGTTGTTAGTACCCACAATGTGTGTGTGTGAGAGAGAGAGAGATGCGGCAGATATATTTGTCTCTTATTAGCTCAGGAAACTGATAAGTATCAAACAGGATTCAATTACCCTGCCTCTTAGGCGTGTGCCTCTCTCTGCAGCGAAGTGCAGAAAACATTCGCTTTCTGGTGCTATTGAAAGAAGAGGGGATGCTTTCTTGGCCTGATTCTCTCAGTTCGGGGGGCCGTGGAAAAGCAGTTCTTTCTCACTAGGATGTGATTCATATTTAAGGGGATGGGCTCCACCCTCTGGTGGGAGACAGACCTGCAGTCCACCAATTAGATTAGTTGCTATAGTGACAGTCTTGTCATTTTCTCCAATTGGGGGAGGACGCCCAGAGCGGCACAAAGGGGCTAGGGCTCCAGGCTTACTTGTAAATGCTCCCAGCACTCTCTGTGCATTCGCAGGCGGATCCCTGGGCGGACAACCAGCCTGGGCACAGGGCTGGACCTTGCCCAGTGATGAGTGGACGTAGACTGTGAGGAGCTTTGATGGGAAAGTTGGAGCTCTCCTTCCCCCGGTGTATGCATCTCTGTTGGCTTTAAGAAGGCAGCATTGGATTGCTGTTTCTTCTACAGAGCTGGGTACGGGAGTTCTGTGTGGACAGGGTTCTTGAATCCTGCAGGCTCTGCTTCAGCCACCATCAGGTGGGCCGAGCCTTGCAAAGACACACAGTCAGGGAGATGGGACTTTGATAAAAGGAGCCCTGGTGGCACAGTGGTTAAGTGCTGGGCTGTGCTAGGAAAGGTCAGTGGTTTGAACCCTCTGGAGGCCCCAAGGAGGTTAAAAGATAAAGAAGCAAAAACCTGGCAATCCATTCCCCTAAAGATCAGGGTTCTCTGCCCCCATGACCTTTGTCCCTTTGATTGGAATCCACAGGAGGGACCCAGAAACAGCTGGGTGGGGAACACTTGAGTATTGGCCTGACCCTCTGCAGGTAGCTTGGTGGAAAATTCCATGCAGGTGAAGTCAGGATTGGTGTGGGGGCATGATTTGCATTTGAAAACACCTAGCTATGGGGCGGCTCCTAGTGTGGTGCTTTAGGGTCAGCACTGGACTGAACTACAAGGTCCATAGTTCAAACCCACCAGCTGTTCCTGAGAAATGCTATATAGGATCGCTATGAGTAGGAACCAACTCCGTATCACTTTAACAATTACAAGGGATGGGGGTGAGGGGCAATTTGACTGTTTTTGAGAGGGATTTGATTTTCCCAAATAAATTCCATCAAAAGTGGATGGTGTCTTGAAGTTTTAAATGGTGTGTTTGGCTTCAACTATGGGAAAAAGTTACAACTTTTGAATTCTCTTTAATCCCCTCGGATGCTATCCAAGCATAAACTCTTTCAAGTTATTTCTCTTTTATCAATGCAATTTACTGCCTATTTAGGAGAGCTTAGAGTATACCACTGCTCGGCTGTTGAAATCCTCCTTCTGTAGTCCTTGCTTGAGGCTTAAATGATGCCATTCCAAAGTTTATTTCTCACCCTAGTTTGTGTTTGTTTGTTTTTAATTCCGACCATGTTTTCATTTGATGGATTGCTGGCATGAGATAAGATCCATCATACATTTGTGTCTCTACTACATCAAGGTCAGTTGCTTAGTTTGTGGGATCCTGTCCACTGGTATGGTGCTAACCAAAAGGTCAGAGGTTCAAACCCACCAGCTGCGCCTTGGAAACCCTATTGGTTATGTGCCCTGGAGTCGGTTGTGACTCATAGCAACCCTGTACAGGGTTTCCGAGGCTGTAAATCTTTACGGGAGGAGAACGCTTCATCTTTCTCCCACAGAACAGCTGGTAATTTCGAACTGCTGACCTTGCGGCTCTCAGCCCATTTTGTAACCCCTACGCTACCAGAACTGACTCCATGGCACTTAAGGGTAGCAGCAACATAGAGTGCTAGTGTGACTCTGTAGGGTAAGCTGTAGTTGTTAAGTGCCCTGGAGTTGGTTCTGACTCACAGTGACCCTGTATAGGGTTTCTTAGGAGCGGCTGGTGGGCTTGATCTGCCGACCTTGCACTGGACTACTAAATGCAAAGTTGGAGGTTCAAACCCACCAGCTGCTCCTCAGAAGCCGCCCTATACATGATCACTATGAGTAGGAAGTACTCCATGGCATTTAACAACAACAATATCCGCTGGTCGAAGACGGTGAGCTCTCTCAAGGGTTCTCCTGAGCAAGGGCCCCTGGGGCAGGGGACTTCAGAAAATTCTAGAACACAGAGTGTCTGGCTGTTACTGCACACCTCTTTTATGAGGCCCATCCCTGACTCTTACCCTGAAGACATTCCAGGGAGTGGGATCTGCTCAGGGCTCCAGGTTCCTCTGGAGGCCTCGGAGGCCAGAACCCACCTCATCAAAAGCGGGGCTGGACTGGTGAGGTGCTGTCTCCCTAGGGAATTCCGCTCTGGATCCGACACCCAATCTTCTTCAAATGAAATAGGTGGGTCAACTCTTGAGGCATGAAGATGCTCCAGGTGACTTTTATGGGCGTCATTATAGGGAAATGTTATGATAATGTGCCACTAGAAAAGGAAAGAAACACAAAACATTAAAATCCCCATTTCTTTCCCTAGCACTGCAGCTGAGCCCACAGAGAAGGGCTCATTTCTGCATTAAAATGTGCTGCTCTGGAGTTAATGACCTCCACACAGGGCCACCTGTCACCCAGCGTGCTGCAGAGGAGGCAACAGGCCTGGTGGGTGGGCTCCTGGTTTCTCTGGGTGTGAAGTGACACTGC